AATGCTTGCGTTTTATGAAAAGAGGACTGGAAACGTAATTTTGTATATCACCAAGATCCCCATAAGGAGTCCCTCAAGGGGTATCATTTTATAAGCAAACACGTGTGGGGATATATTTAGTTTTTTTGCAGACGACTAAAATCAAAATCCTTCAGGATCCTTTTTAAATATATGTTTAAAAAAATCCTACAAAAAAATATTTCCAGGTTCCTAGGTTTTCATGTATTTAGACATTCCTTTAAAAAACTAAATTTATATTCTTTTTAGTTGCGCGGCCTATTGAAAAATAAAACAAAATAAATATATTGTCTTTTTAGTTTTGCACCCTTATATTTAAAAAAAGAAAAAACTAAATATGTCAGTTTTTTGTTTTGCATCCTTGAGAGAAAAAACTAAAACACACTAAATATTTGTTTGTTTATGTTTTGCGGCCTTTTGAAATGCACTAAAGAAACTAAATATTTGGTTTTTGTTGTTTTGCTGCATTTAAAGAAAAAACACTAAACCCACTAAATATTTAGTTTTTAGTTTTGCGGCCTTAAAAAAAATAAAACTAAAAAAAACTAAATCCTTCAGGATTCGAGGTTTCCAGGTATTTAGAAATTCCAAAAAAAATAAAAAACTAAAAACCTAAATCTTAGTCTTTTCTATTTTTAGTCTTTTTTAAAGGCCGCAAAACTAAAAAACCTAACAAACTAAATCCTTCAGGTTTCGAGGTTTCCAAGTATTTAGAAATTCTAAAAAAGCTAAAAAACTAAAAAACTAAAAAAAACTTGAGGCCAGAGGGGGTGAACGAAAGCTAGCCGGGCCTCCTCGTCCAAACAAGTCGGGGGCGGGCTGCACAGTCACTCTCATTGGGTAACTGCCTGCAAGTCCCGTGGGAAACTCTAGAGAAGCAGTGTTAGTATGTGCTTTGTGGTGCGTCGAGTCTCATTCAGTAAGCAACTGCCACCTGACAGGAGCAGGTTTTGTTTGGTGCCCCCTTTCCATCACTTCTTTGGCTTGGTTTTTCCAGCGGTTGCTGACCACCCAGCGCCAGCAGCAGCAGCAGCAGATCACCCAGCGCCAGCACCAGCAGCGGCAGCCCACCCAGCGCAGCAGCAGCAGCAGCAGCGCCAGCAGACCTCCCAGTAGCAGCAGCAGCAGACTGCCCAGCAGCAGCAGCAGCAGACCCCCCAGCAGCAGCACAAGACTCAAATGACACCGCCTGACTCCACGCCGTAACTAGTACGCGGGGTAGGGCTATGATGCAAGAAATGCCGCCTGCACATAGCACCCAAAAAGGTATTACTGTCCAATGTAGCTCCCGCTGCTGCTGGGTGGTCTGCCTTGGCTGCGTCTCCTGCTGCTGCTGCGGCCGCTGCTGCTGTTGTGTTTGCTGCTGCTGCTGCTGTTGTGTTTGCTGCTGCTGCTGCTGCTGCTGCGTTTG